ACTGAAACACAATCTGTCTCGAACAGGAGATGCATATTCCATTTTCAAATCATCTAGAGACATAGGAAGTTTTTCAGCAAAGATTACCAGTTCAGGGTTCTTCCTATTGACCTGGCCTTGGATGCTTCTCTAGAGATTAAACTAACTCAATGAAAGGCTGATTCTAAGGCGGTCAGAGAAATTGGTAATTCGACATCGAGACTTGGTTCTTGATTATCTACAGAGGTCAGGTTGAGGCTAAACCTAAAAGATAGTTTTTTTGTTGTTGTTGATACCGTCTGTGATGAGAGACTCTTTGAATGGATCAACAGTCACAGAGTTTGATCCTGTTGGCATACTCATTCATAATTACTGCATATGCTGTTGGTCATCCCCAGTTTTTGACACATTTAATTAGATGGAAATTGTCTCAGCAAGACAGCCCTCGTTAGTAGTTTGGGGTGGGGTTTCACAAAGGATGCCTTGTCTGTGGAGTCTGGAGGGCAATCATCTCAAGTGGCACATGAAATGCCCTGAGATGATAGCAGTGTTTCTGTCTTAACCCACTTCCTTTCGGGCCTTCTGGACTGACATGTGAGAACAGACAACATGTTGGTAGTTTTGCACTTAAACTGGCAAGGAGAATTGTGCTCTTGCACCATAGAGATTAGCAAGGCTCTTTCTACTCAAAATAAGTTTCTGTAGCTAAGGGTGGTACAAATCCCCAGCAGTTGAACCTGGTAGATTCTGGAGCAGGATGTTGCATTAGGTGAAAAATGCTGTTTAGTTTTTCTATGAGGCGCATGGGTTATCTTCGCCTCTTGGTATTTGAGCACACTCTACTAGAGGTGTTGCTTCTTAGGCATTATCTAAGGATGCGTCTTTGAAAGATAATTGCATGGCAGCGGATAAGGCCTCCACACATGTTTATCAGATGGTTGGATATTTATCTGATTCCTGGTTTCTATGTTTTGTTTGTCTATATGGGTGTAAGTTCTTCATTTATGTCTGTGCAACTACAGTGTTCATGGACTTGTAAACTGGCAGTCACTTTGTAGTATTGCACTGTGGTATAGTGTTCCCATAGCATCAGCTATCACTGAAGAATGGGAAAGAGAGAGAGAGAGAGGGGGGGGGGGGGGGGGGGGAAAACCAACCGAAGTGAAGAAGTCTTCAGGATGTCCCAGAGTGTCCAACAAGCACCAGAACCATCTGCTCCTGAGGAGTCAGCTACAGAATCATGTCACCAGCAGTGCATGCACTTAGAGCCCAGATTGCAATAAAAAATAAATAATAATAACAAAAAAAAAAAAAGACCAGTGTCACTAAAGATGGAAAGGTATCAACTTCCCCAGCTCTACAATTGGAAAAATACAAAACAAAAAAAACCCAGTCAACTTGAATCCCACCTGTGAGAAAATTTTCTGTGACTTCTCATAAAACAGCAGGTTTTATTGTAAACTCTAAAATTGATCAATCCAAAATGATTTTTTAGTGGGGCACATGTTGAAGATTGGCAGACAGGCTGTCAACTCGTTAATTAACAAACTGTTTCCTCACAAAATAAGCTTTTTCAGGGTACTCACGCCTATAAGTGTCTCAGTGTACCACAGTGGTATGCTTTACGTACTTTTTTTTTTTTTTTTGCTAACCCTCAAGGATCCCTTTGCGTTTCCATGGTGACTCTTGGACTTGGTGCTCTGTTGAAAAAAAAATCTTGAGTGGCTTATTAATTTAATAAAACAATGTTGACAGCAATATGATAAAGAAGTATTGTTTTTAAATAATAATCAAAATCAAAATATTTCTTCCGCCAACTAATATAGTTCATTTGTCTTAATGAAAAACATTCACAGTTGCCAAGCAACGTGATTCATTAATTATATAATATGCAGTCACAGGTTTGTAGTTATCTGCATTTTACAACAGCTTTCAGTGCTGCTCATCCAGACTTTATACTTGAGATGATAAGCGAAAATGTTATCAGGTCTTCCCATGTATCCATGCCAAACCATAATATGATATGTCTCTTGGCAACAATCAAAGTCTGTTGGTTTCTCAATAAGATGCATGCGGTTCCTTTTACTGAGTTAGAACATGCAAGACATCCCATAGGCAATGGTTTTGTCAATTTCTTTCTCAGATGCTTGTTCATGAAAAATAAACATGTCTGTGGAGCTTGGAATCATTACAGAAATAGTTGTTGTGTATGAACATATTATCAGTAAGAGCACAAGATGTTCGATCGATGTTCTGTCCATCTATTAATACTGATTTAACAAAACAAAAAAAAACATTAGAGGGATTTATGCTTAAAGCAAGAAGAAAAATGCCAATGTTGTAATAAAACTGAAAACAAGTTTTTACAGTTTCTTTTTGTTTGAAGGATGTATAATATAGATTAAATAAAAAGACAAAATACAATGTTTTCAGCTAGCTTGATTATGGAGGTTTCATGCCAAGACATGATTCATATTTGCTCGTCTCTGGAGCGAAAAACACTACATAATATTGCAGCAGAATCACTTTTTTAGCCTGGACCTGCATCTAATCAGACAATATTATGAATATGTACAGGTAATGGGCTTCCTAATTCATGCTGATGTGTGTTTGAAATATAACGCGCTTGTGTTTTTTGAAAAGGGAAGACAAATATGATTGCTTAAAATCAGGTGCAGGCAGACTGTTTCCTGCTGTGCCAATGTGCCTTCTCATCTTCTTTTCAATTGCGTATTCTTTGGCTTTGGATGCCGGGCGCATCATACAGGCTGGAGGTAGAGGTCTGACGCTACTGTCAGTGCCGGGAGACAAGGCACTAAAGCACCTTGACAACACACTCATGAAAGCAGCACAATGCAATGCTGTTTTTAGCTGGCAGGGCGCTTACTCATATCAGCTAGACGTGGGCTAATGGCGAACATGCAGATAAGTGAGCTTCTTTAAATGAGTGACATTAGCAGGCATGACTGTGAACCTGTCAAGCTTGACTTCTGCAGGACAGAATATTTAGTTCCATCAACCTTGAAGAGCTACTGATCATGCTGTTTTAAACACCATGTGTGGCTCATCCTGGTGTTGACTTAACCGTAGGGTCTTTCCCTCTATAGCAACGATCCTTGGTGAACAACATCGGTCTCTGTTAGAGCAGAGATGCTCTAAGTGTTGACAGATACAATGGAGCATCATTCGTCCTCAGCACAAATACAGTTGTTGGGTGGGGGGAGTCAGTTGTCTTGTCTGCTGCTTACCTACAGTCTCATAGTCTTGAAAGATGATTTATGCACTGATAAGCCACAGCATTAAAACCACTGAGAAGAGATGAAGTAAATGACATTGATTATGTTGTTACAATGGCAAACTGTCAAGGGGTGGGATATATTAGGCAGCAAGTAGTCTCAGCCTCAGACGTCACGCCCACGGACTGTTGGCTAAACGTATGATGCATATGGCACACAAAAGTGGAAACACTTCAGGAGTTTTGAAGTCACCATCGGATTGGTTTAATTATACAGGATTTCCAGTAGACGTGTCGAATATGTTGTTATTATGTTGTTTATGATTATATTATTAACTTGATGATTACACAGCATGACATTCATTTATTCATTTGTACAAATTGTATAAAAGATTTCCAAACCCATATGAAACCACAAATTAATACATTTCTAACAACTCGGCACCTTATGACACATCATTTTATTCATGCTTAGTAATCTTTTATTGAGTCTGTGGAAAGGAGAGGGAGTTGGGAGCTCATACGTGCTCATAGTTTTATTTATTTATTTATTTTAGATCATCTTAAATGAGTACTTTATTGTTTTATTGCTGGGCTACATCAAACCAGCCTTATACACCTCTAAACAGAAACATTTGCTAAAATGCTCCTGATGTCAAGTGAAGGATATTATCTCTCACAATGGTGTTTTTCCTGGTTTGTGGTCAGTTCATTCAGCAAATCCATTAATGGGAAAATTCCAGATCTTTTGCTGTCATTTTGAAAAGCTTAATTGACTGTCTAATTACAATCTAATTGAAATTTGCTAAAGCTGTTTTACAGACCATGAATATTGTATCTGTCTGAGAGCTGCACACACAGTCTGACACAAAAGAGTAGCATCTCACCTCTGCTGTGCTGAGTGAGACTCAGCAGCCTGATTATGTTGCATTGTTTCACACAGAGGAAATGACAAAGACAGTAGCTTTGTCCCGCTGACCCAAGTGCCCAGGGTTCGTTCCCAACTGGGGCAGCCTTTCTGCAGTCCTTAGTAGCAGTACTTAAACTTGTGAACTTTTGCATAAATCAAGTCCCTGTTTTATCGTTTAGACAAAATTCACTTAAAATTTAAAAGGTTAGCTGTGGTCCACTTCCTTTCAGAAACATCTGCATGATTGCACATTTGAGGATTGTGTATGATTGATGCATTAAGTCACATGAGTCAAAGTGTGACAGTACTTTTCTAAAATAAAAGGTTCTTCTGAATAAAAATGGAAATAGATGATTTCACTGTCAAGTAACTATAGTCAGTTCCAAGCAACATAGTTGCATTAATGGGACAGTTAATCAAAAAAAATAAAAAATTTAGATGAGATGAGGGGGTAAATTCTGAGTGGCTGGCATGATCGCCAATCATACTGCTCATCAGAACAGGACTAACTAAGATTCTAAGATTATCAGCTAGCCTGATAATTAGTCTAGGTAGCCTGCTTCAGACACAATTTCACTATTGCTAATAGTCAATAAAGATATAATTACATGTGTTTGAAGTTCTCTGAAGGCATACAATATGCTTTATCAAACAGACTGAAATTTTATGTATTTATTTTATTTATTTACTTTTTTGTCTTGTTGACTACTTTGGTCAAGCTTCAAAGAGCGCAAAACAGATTCTATCCTCAAAATCTCCAATATGCAAAATATGTTACCACTGTATTCTAGTAGACTGTGCACTGCTCTCATGGAGTTGTGCTAGTCATAACTTCTCAACATGCTAATCAGATCTTCTATAATTTCTTTTGAGACAATGCAAAACCACATGGCATGTAAGACTGCTTTGGACCCCTATGTTGCATCAGCAAGTGCGCATCACAAAGGAAAACACGCTGAGAGAAGAGGTAAAACAGGTAATCGGGGAGATCTAGAATCAGTTGCATAAATCTCAGCATGGCCTGTCGTTTATAACACCTGGGCCACATTACTAAACAGCGACATTAGCTAGAATGAAACATGGTGTCTGTTGCTCTGCCAATGGCTGCGGGATTGTCCGCTCCAGAGATTTACAATCCAGTTCACTTCCCACTCAGCTCCAATCCACCAACCAAAAGACTTTCTATTCATGGAGCAATGGCACAATCGTAAATATCTCTTTGAGCCGCTTGATGTCTGTTGTGAATTTGCCTCTGTTTCTTTGTGGCCAGGCACACAACATTGATAAGGAATGGAGTTCCCTTCTCAGCTTGTAAATGAATGCCCATTGTGCTCATTCAAAGCGTTATGCATGAATTGTCTTGTCGATAAATCCCAGCACAAGCTGAGAAAAATAGCAGCGTGTGAACCATGAGATAGTTCAGTGCACCCTAAACAATGTTTATACCCCAGCGCTTACAAGCTACCTGTGGAAGCCTAGAAGATGCAGGGTGCATCGACCAGACTAAAACGTTACATCGATCGATATCATTCCCATTGGAGGACATTACTGTATACGTGCACTTGGTGGCTATTTTATTGACTACACCTTTCTAATGCTGCGCATGATGCCTCTTTGGCCCCAGAACAGCTTGAATTCTTTGCAGCGTGGATTCAGCAAGGAGCCAGAGACATTCCTTAGAGATTCTGGTCCATGTTGACATGACTGCATCTCACAGTTGCTACAGATTTATTGATTGCTCATACATGCAGCAAATCTGCTGTTCTACATCCCAGTAGTGCTCTGCTAGCTTGAGATCTGCTAACTGGAGGGAGGTGTAGTACAATGAACTCAATAGATTTGTTCCAAAATCTTGTTGTGTACATAGGCAGCTGTCTCCTAAAGGTGATCACACACCAGATGAAAAGCGCCACACAGCATTGCGTCTTGGCTGGGACAACTCACAGGTATTGCATACCGGATGCATCACGTTCAGTTCAAGGGAGCAGTCCAAAACAGTGCATCTAATCACCAGACAGGCAAAGGCTCACTTCAAGAATTAACAAAAGTGGCATTGATGAGAAAAAAAACGGAGAGTGAACGGGGGCAATCTATATTATTATAACTTTCTATATGCTACATACAGGCTTTATTCAAGCCACAACAAAACAAACATTTTGCTGAGAAATGCACAATGCACAAGCTTCCTGCCTAAGGTAAAGCCATTATGTAAAGTAACAATGATTTGTGACAATATAATGTCATTTATTGAAAAAAAAAAAATCATAGAGTTAGTGGAGCTCTGTGGTATGGCAGGATTTTGAATAGCTCCATAGCTGGGTGCTGCGGACAGATGCCAAAATGTACCCTTATAGAAAACAATGCATGTTTGCATGCTAAAAATGTGGTGCAACACAATCTTACGTTTCTTGTCCAGGGTGTGATCCCCTAAGGCATCATTCTAACTAACATGACACAGCATATATTAAATGACTGATCTGGAATGCTCTACACAGGCAACAACTCTTACAGTAGTTAATACTGTTATCTGCACAAAATGTGTTCAGGGGATACGGTTCACAATGGATTCCAATCAATTGTGACATTTCCTTGGTGCTAAGCTAACAATGCAGTGCTCTAATAAGCATAAAAATGCATTGCACACAAAAATAATTTTAACAATACTTGATGCCATTAAATGCAATTTATTATCAACCTTTCTCTTGGCTCATCTGCCATCTTGGAGGATTTTTTGGGGGGGGCGTTGGGGGGTGTATATATCTCAGAGCACCATTTTGAAAAGCCTTCGAAAGGGGGATTATACAACCCCAATTCCAAAACAGTTGGGACATTTTGTAAAATGCAGTGAAATCAAGAATCTGTGATTTGTTAATTTCCTTTAACATTTATTTAATGGACAAGAAGTACAAAGAAAAGATGTCCAATGTTTTCACTAACCAGCTTAAATGTATTTTGTAAATATCAACAAATTTTGATGTTGATGGCTGCGACACTTTCTAAAAATGTGGGATAGAGGCAAAATAAAAATGAAAAGCTTATAGAATATCCAAGTTACACTGTTTTGAAACAGTCCACAATAAGCAGGTGTATTGATAATAGGTGAGGGGATCATGTTTCGATCACCAACTACCATACATAATATTGTGGCAAGATTCAGGGAATCCAGAGAAATCTTAGTCTGTGTAGGGCAAGGCAGGAAACCTCAGGTGAATGTGCATCACCTTTGAGCGCTCAGATGGCATTGCAAAAGAAATGTAATGCTGCGGTGTTAAATATAGCCACATGTGCTCAGGAGTATTTCAGAAAACTGCTGTCAGAGTCAATCGGCCCTGTACGCTCACTACGCAAGTTGCCTAGGGCCCCCGTAAATTACGCAAGGCCCAGCCTTCCCCTCATGTCAGTGCGGAACACTTTCAATCTGCTGTGAAAACGAGGAAAAATAGGAAAGAATGTGAGCAAGATATGGTTAAGTGATAGATTTTATAAAGCTAATTCTGAAATAGTGGCTGCTGCATTGTGTTTTTCGAATTAATTCAGCATTTCATGAGAGCTTTGAAGACGCTATGCCAGTGTAACAACAGTGCTGTGCACAGTGTTATCATGGGCACTTCAAAAGACCTGAATGATTTGAGATACCTTATTATCCGAATTGTTTAGATTTTTAGAACATAGCCTATTAGTGTCAGGGAGTATCTGTCATCTGTCACCAGCTCTGGACTCCATATCCCAGAATCCTCACCTGCACCTGCTGCCACCAATCAAGCCACCTTCAAAAGCACGCTCCTTTCAGTCCCTCACCATCTGATCTATGGTTCACTACGCTACTCCTTACCTGACTCACTGAACACAGACTCCATCCTGATACTGGCCTGTCTCTGTGCCATCCTCTTCAGCCCGATCCACAAAGGAACCCCTCATCACGTGAGCCCGATCCCTTCCGTTCCTTAGACTGTTGCTCTAACCCGTTGGCCCTCCATATCTCTCTCCCTCTCCCAGCACCTGTTCAATAAAGCTCTCAGTTTACTTTACCTCTCCGTCCCTGGTCTCCTTCTGTACTGTGACAATTAGCTTATTTATATATTTATTGGTCAATATTACTGTAGGGTGCCTTTTGGTGTCCTGTAAATAAATAACAAATTTTCCATGATAACTTAACATAAAAATGACTATGAAAGGGAGTGTTATATTAGGCTAAGTTTTTATATTCATAACAAAAGCATTACTTGGCTCTTTAGATACATTTTCTAGATTGTTTTTATTTTTAGTTTTGTGTAAGAGGATGCGTGTTATTTTGCTATGTCCCATGCACTGCTCATTACATTTTAATGATAGTAGAATATTGTCAAACCATAAAATAAAAAAATCTCCTATTAATATTTTGTTAAATAAGAGATTACTCAATTTGAGTGTACTGATCATTTGGTAATGAAAATCGATATTTTTATTTAATAAAAACAATAAGAGTTTGCCCATGTCCCTTGAATGGTTGTCCACCCTGTCGTATTGGGGAATCCGAAAAGGCATTCCCTTTAGTGACCTCAGGACAACATATTTTGTCTCTTCAGTGGCGGGAATTTCAACGGATGAGGTGAAATTTGTTAGTGACTTTTCAATTGACAAATTTTCTTTGTATGAGTTTGCTTACTTGCTTTGTCAAAGCTTAACATGTCCACCCTGTCGGCATAAAATATTCTCTTCAACAACCAGACTAAATATTTAGCTAGTCACAGTTTGTTGTAAGCTAATATGCTAATTGAAGCTCAAAATGTCCATGGACATAGTGTTCATTTGTAGTTAATATTGCTAAAATCTAAAATGAATGGGGGGTATATCAATGTGATTGAGGATGCAATTATATAATTTATTATTATATTATTTTTTAATAACCCTGTTTAGGAAAGGGAATAGACAATATAATTTGCATCATAATTTTGCAATGAAAACATATTTAACAGTAATATATGCTGTATGTCCATGACAGGGTGGACATATCTTATGGTTTATGCTTCGAATAATGGCCCATAATTATCTAAAAAAAAATGTGTGGGAGCTCAGCTAATATGTTTCTATAGTACTTGAGTGTCTACTATTTATGATATGACATAAAGCGAATGGGAAATTAAAAACAACATGTTTGAGTATTGTGAGGGTTGAAAGGCTCTCTATGGTGATATTGACCCATATATTAGCGACCAGTTAAACTTGATTTTCAAATTGATATGGGAAAAAAAAATGCAGACGGGCTGAATAAAAATGCAAATTCATTTTCTGACAGGAGGTGGCTTTTATTGAAGTACTGGAATACAGCGGTTACCCCTCTACACAAAGCAGCAACTTAGCTCTCTACTTGCTTATCACAGAGAAGAAAGTCAAAACAGTGTTTTCATGTTTTCATTTACATGTTTGTTTGCACATATATTTTTGCATTTTAATCTGGACTTAAACAAGGCAGTCTAGAAAATAGATTATTATTGTTATTCGGGGTGCTCCGATTGATCGGCTACCGATCACCATCGGCCGATAATCACGTTGGGATGTTTGATCGATGGTCTCTAAAAAGGCCGATCTCAAAAAAACAATCTCAAGCTGATGACTGCCGTGAGAGGTTTGGCACGACATGCAGTGACACCGTCTCAGTCTGGCGCGGGTGAATTAATTATAATGCTGAAGGTGAGGTACTCATATTTCTTCATTAAATAACTTAAAGTAATTTGAAAACCTTGTGTGAGACGTAATTTCACAAACAACGTGAGTGAATCAGCGCCCGCGCTCTCTCTTTCTCTCTCAAAATACGCAAATGTCTTCAAATCACCACAGGAATTGTCACTTGCACAATCGAGGCAGTGTCACATCGTCACTAAACTTTATATTGCATTTATTTTTTATTCTTGCCAGTGTTTAATCATTCAGCGCACGCGCGCTCTCCTGGAGACCATGCGCTCATGCACACTCGCACTTGCAGCGCAC